CGTTTTCATGATAGGGTTTGGAACTTGATGAGTAAAAAAAAAAAAAAGGTCATCCACTTGAAAAAGTTGGAACTTGGCCACTTTTTTCGACTTTTTCAAAATTCTGTCCGAGATTTGTCGGATTTCAAATTTTCCCGGGGCGTACGATAATTTTCTGCCGCGTACGATAATTTTGCGCCCCTGTGTCCATCAAACGAACTAAAGTCTCTGGGATCACTGATTATACGAACTAAAGTCCCTGGGATCACTGGCAGTCACCCGTGAAGGACGCGGCCTAAACAAAAGTCGTACTTTACGAAAATTCAAAGTCGATTTCTCGAAAACAAAACCTCAAACGAAAAATTGTTATTCTATATTTTCGATTTATTTTTTCATGTAGAATCACCACCTTTTCGCTTGTACCACCAGTTACCGATCACCCTGTATATATATTTATTGTATTTTTTATTTTTTCTTAAATATATATATATAGATTATTTTATTGTAAATATATATGTCCGCTATATTTTATTAAATCATTTATTTGAAGTATTGAAATTTAACATTAATATGCAATTAGATAATTAGACATAAATTGATCGTGATATAACATTTTCTATTTACGTACATAGCATTAAATATAATTGTGCATATCATATTCATGCTATTCTCAGACCAAACACCATTAATCTGTAAACAAAAATCTTTACTATTTTACACTATACAACATAACAAATTTATAAAAAGTATTCGACCATATTTAGTTATAAAGTTATTTTGTACATGTATATCTTATATGTGATTATTTTACACATAAATATTGTTATAACAAAAATGTAAATATATTTTCACCACTCCGTGCGGAAAGTGTCAACTTTCCGCCCGCTGTGCAAAACGAAGTTGCTGCTTTCCGCCTATGTCGAGCAGAAAAAAGTATACACACCATGGGCAATAAATAAGAAAGCCTCAGAGCACATGTTTATTGACCTCGGCTTCGCCTCAGACAACAATTACATGTTCTCTGAGACATTTCTTACTTTACCGCCCTAGGTATGTAATATACTATTTCATTATTATTATCATCATCAATCCTCATCATCATCAAAGTCGTTATTATCATTGTATTAAGTTTCTTTACAAATTATTTCCCTATTTTATACATACTTTGGTTTCACAATGTTTTTTTTTTTACACTTCGATATTTAAATATTTTTATAACTTCGTAAATAAATATATATATTATCCATATATAAAACTATTACATATATATCCGGAAAGAGAAATAACTTGCTTTTTTACTTATATATATATATATAAATGTGTGTGTATAATATGTGTAACTTTCATTTTTTACAATTTATCTTTTCGTTTCACATTTTGTATCATTTGTATCAAAATTGCATTTACTATTTGTGCGAACTAACAGAATGTACATAAAATTATTTAATAGTTAAGTGCAGAACTATACGCTACTAGAAAAATAAAATTATTTATATATTTTTTTATAACATAGCATATTGTGCCTTGCATCAGTCTTATTACCAATTATTTTAAGCGTAATAAGGCATTGCTGATGTACACTTGCAAGAAAGAAAGGTCTTTTGACTAGTTTTTCAAGCAAAGTAAATTATTATCGAATTATATATATAAAAAAAAAAATTATTTTATTACTACTCATAGGATTGAAAATCATCAAGCATATTGTCAGAAGATGAAAGTGTTAAACAGCGCTCTTCATGCATTCCCTTAGCATAATTGATTTGTCGTGAAACCTAAAAAATAAAAATAATTTTTAAAAATATGTTCATAACACATTGAATATTTTAATAAAATATTATACAAGTACTTACATGTTTAGCAACTTCCTCGTTGTCACAACGAACTTTTGGTCTTCTTAACAGTTCAGGACCATCAGTTATCAATGATCCTGAATCCATTCTAGATATTAATTCTATGTAATATAATGTTGTGCCATTACTTTCAATTTTATGCATCGGCTGACAATACAAAAGATCTGCTAAATTGACTTCAGTTACAACAGCTTTCGTTCCTCCAGAAATTACACGCACTCTTTCATTAGAAACCAGTACTTTTAAACTTTCAATACCGCTGCGTAAACATTCGTATGCCAAAAGTAATTCCGAATAGTCATGATTGTTAATACTGTAAAGAAATTCTTGTCCCTCTGCCTGTAGTCGGTTATAAGGTGGTAATAAAACAGCTGCACCACTGGCAATACGAGGAGGTCTGTCTCGTTTCGGTATCGTACGATGAGCACTAAAAAATTAATGATATTTTTATAAACTTTTGAAAACATACGAATGTAGTAGATTCTATCATTTTTTATTTTTATACCTTCTACTTGTTTCTCGTACTGCAGTTGCGGTTTCTGTGGCAAGATCTAATACACCCACAACTGGTTTTGTGATAGTTCCTACTACTCCTTTACCAAAGCCAGCAAAGAAACCCTGAAATTTTGTACGCGATTATTTTTTGTTAATTTTCTAATGGAACAAATGAATCTTCAATTAATATATTTGAAAAATCTAAATAAAATTTATATTATATACCGGAAATCCTTCATTAGTAGCTCCATCATAGGTTTGTTTAAAAATACTTGTAACACCACCTAGCAAACCAAAGCCAAATCCTTTAAGACCTGCAACTAAATGATCGCTACTTCCTGCAGTATTTGCTCGAATTCTTTGTCTAGCTTCTTCGTGTCTCTCATCCATAATTACACGACCCAAACCATCTGATAAAGATTCTGTTACCTTAGCTGCTGAGTTTGATATACCGTGTGTAACATTTTTCACCAAAGTTTTAACGCTGCCTTCATATATTAAACCGGAGACTCCTTCTGTTACATCATTCATAAATCCAAGAGGATTACCCAAAAAATCAACAGATCCTAATATAACAGCTGCTTGCCATTTTAATTCCTGTAATTATTTCAAAACTAATATATATCTTATTAACAAATGTACATATATATTTATATCATAAAAAAATTGAATACTATACATCTTTGTAATGTTTTATAATCGAATGCATTAAAAACTGGATATTTTCAAAAGGGTGTTTCTTAACAAATGCTTCTAATTCGATCGTAGCATCTTCAAATTTGATTAAAGTTAAACCCAATTTTCTTTTTATTGCTTGAAGATGAGGTGGTAATTTCATAGTAGTGAGCACACTAAGCTTTACCTAAAATTTATTATTAATTAAAATTAAAATTTATTATGAATTTAATTATTCAGTCAATAATTCATATCTGTATTTTTTATAACGTAAAATTTTAAAATTGATAAATAATTTTGTATAAATACCTGATTAGGGATAATTTTTAACGCACCAAAATAATATCGTTTAGCGTGAGAAGCGGACACTTCAGAAATAAATCTTTGTGCTTTAAAATCATTTTCATCAAGTGGCACTTCTATTTCAGATCTACCAGCTCCAACAAAAGCTGCTAATTTCAAAATTAATTTTTCTTCGAGATGTATACACAATGGTTTAATACTAATTATTACATGTTTGTAAATTTCAGCATTTTGATTTTTAGATTTTAATTTTTCTGCAGCCACGTGTATCGCAGGTCGATGATTATTTTCTGTGCGTGGAGAACGAGTGACGTACAAAACAGATGTACATTGTGCTTCAACAAGTTGATTATCAATTTGTACATCTTCAATGCTTGAATCTAATACTGTATTAGTGGAAGTTTGCGTAAGTTTTAAAGATATACCAGCGAATCGTGCAAACAATAATTCCTCAGGTGGTCTTTGCGATACTATCGATAATCCCAAACCTGTTGGTAAATTAACATTTAATTGCAATTCATGAAAATCTAGATTTTCAGTATCAATGCGAACATGAGTAGGACGTTGAGTAACAGCAATATGTGACCAGTCACGTTCTTCGAGTAAAGCAAACGTCTTTTTCTACGAGATAAATTAAATCAAATAATTAACAAGATGTAAAATGTTAAAAAAATTAAATTGAAAAAGAAAGAAGAAAATATTTCTTTATAACTTACTCTCTCCTTAATATCCAGTATTTGTAATACACGTGTTGGACCATCGGTAATTACTTTTACCGATAAAAATCCAGAACCTGGTCGTAATTTTTGCCTTCTAACTCTTTGTTCGACTGGTGGTGGATTTGTATGAATTTGTGGACCTAGTACAGCCTCGCTCCCTATATAATATAATATATTTAATAATGTAGAAATAAATATATAAAAAATTCTATAAATATATAAGTTTCAATTAATTTAATCTAATTAGTTTAACATATTAATAAGAAATAATTTTGCTATTATTGTAAAATATATGCGATAAAGAGAGCAATTATGCAATAAAATTAAAAAACAAGCTGTGTTATTAGCCTATTATATATATATTGCATTAGTACATATTATACTTATATATAAATTTTTAGTGTACTTTATATTAATACGTACACATGTGCCAACGGGCAACACTGCCGCCTGTAACATTCATTAATTATTTAAGCCCTTTAATAATTTATAAATTAATTATTTATTATAGGACTTAGAAATTTTCTAAGCTGCACAGTTAAAAGTTGGCA